AAAAAAAAAAAAAATCATAATGAAAGTTTTACTTTCCCTGCCCATCAATGTAGGAGGCCTTTGTAATCTTCTTGGTCCTTTAGTTTCAACACCAAGTCCTCCCTTCGTAATTTTTTGACAATTAATGTGTTCTCCTTAGAATAAAACTGTGGATGACTAAAATAATTACTGCAGAATTAGAACAAGCAGCTGCATTAAGATACTTATATGGATATCTACAGCATCACCCAAAGTACGGAGCACTTGCAAGGCCGGAGCTTTCGGATTCATTATACTATGCTGATGTAAGCACCTTTCTATTTCTGCACATTCTTCAGCTTTTATTACAACCATAGAAATCTTGGGAATTTAGTTCTGACACTTTCATGATTTCTGCTGTCTAAGTGCTAGCAATAATAGAATCTGGATTTGGATGTTGTTGCAAGTAGCAAAATATTAAAAATGTTATAACTGCTGATATTTTTCTGAGTTGTTGCCGTTATCAGTTTAATGTAATATTTTTTTTATAACCCCCAAATCTTCTTGAATGTCTGTGTGTATGTTTATTCTTTTGTTGTGAGTAAAGTGAATAACAACAGTTGGTTATTGATTACTATTGCTTACTAACGAATATGAACAGTCATATAGAATTAAGTTTTTTTTTGGGGGAAATGTATATTTAAATTCTGCAAGTGTACGGCTCTCTCACTCTTTGGAAATCTAAGGAAACTAAAAAGATTCAAAGAAGCAATTTTCTTGACGTGATTTTTCCACTGAATTTGTCATTGATTTTGATTTTTTGGATTTCATAGTGCATTTCATTAGCATTTAGGAGTGTTTAAGCTAGAACTTAAGATGCTTCTCATCTTGAATCTGTTTCTTTCTTTGGTCTAAAACTATGCTTGATTCTTGTTTTTGTATTTTCAGGTAGCTGGCTTATTTAATGAAGCTGCAAAAATGTTTCCTGATGATGCTGATGTGCACATAGTACTTGGTGTCCTTTATAATTTGTCCAGAGAATTTGATAAAGCAATTGCTTCCTTCCAGACAGCCTTGAAACTAAAGCCGCAAGATTACTCTCTTTGGAACAAGCTAGGTGCTACACAAGCCAACAGCATTCAAAGTGCTGATGCTATATTAGCTTATCAACAGGTAATCATATCTATAATCTCTCTCTCTATTCACTTTAAGCTAATGCTCTTCCTCAACTACACCTTCATATCAACAGTTCAGGGACGGATCATCGCTGTGTTCAGTCGTATATAGTCTAGGAAAAAGAGGATAAAATATAAATGTGAATTTATGTAGCCATGCTGTTCAATCAAACTATTTTTTCTATTTCTAATTAGCCCCGGCATAACGATGCGGATAAATTTCCAATCCTCTATTTATTTTGTTGTTTTAGGGGCTTGCAAATTTAACCCTCCCATTCATCTATTTTTTACCCAATTCAAACAGCTAACCTAATACACTTAATTCATTTGACCCTTCACACATGCCATATATTCCAACTCCTATCCTCTATTTCACAATAAAGGAAGAGTTATGTGGTAGGCTTGCTTTTTCGTCGTTTCGTTAGTGGGCCTGATAGATGTGGGATCCGAGTTGGTTAGATTTAATTTTTCTTTATGGGCGTCCGTTAATCATACTTTTCTTAATTCTTAGCTTGGTTTCATTTTTTTACATCGTAGTCCATACTTGTAACTAGTGTTGGGCTCCATGGGCTTGTATTTTGTATGCCTTTGTACATTCTTTCATTTTACTCAATGAAAGCAGTTATTAAGAGAAAAGTCATCTTCTCTCTACTACTAGGTCAGAAAACTATTTGCTTTCTGTGTCAGTAAGGAAGTTCGGGCGATTTAACCAAACCATAAGACAAATGGAAACTTTGAAATCATTGGTAGGGACCAAGTTAAAACAAGCACACACTATGGTGATGGAAATAGTTATTTACAAGAAATTGAGAAAAAGTGGAAGTTCTTCATTACAGTAGGTATGCATATGTATATATTAATAGATGATATCACGAGAACTGATTTGTATTCGAACTCAAGAAGGATATAAACAAGTAATCATGGAATCGGGATTACATGTAATCTTCTAACAGAAAGATTTGAAAAAAGAGTAATGTTTATACATTATTGTTGTGGAAGCCTTTGGTTAAGCTGTGAACTGAAGTTTGAGCTGATTTTCCAATTTATGCATGATGCTCTTATCATAGGCATTTCCTTCCTCCTCACCATCCAAAAACTTGTCACCGTAAAGGCTTGTGTTCTACAATTTCTTCTAGCGATTGAATCATTTACCAATAAAAAGTTAAGTAAAACCATCCTTCTCAAGGTTACGAGAAGGGAGTTACTCATTCCAATAGAATGGGAAAACTAGCCATTAAGATTGAATGGACTTTATTTCTCGTCTCTTCGATTGCATGCATTATAGGCCTGGAGACAACTTATGGGAATTTTGTTGTGTATGGTCAGGGTATCATCGAAAATGTTCACGCTAGGCCCCGTGATTACTTTTATTTATTCTAGCTTCATGATGACTCTTCTGAGTGTGTTAACTGACTTAATTTGTCTTCTAGGCACTTGATTTAAAGCCTAATTACGTCCGTGCATGGGCCAATATGGGAATCAGTTATGCTAATCAGGTCTGTCCTGTGCTTAGTAGCATTGACCTTTCTCCAACATTTTTTTTTTCATGTTGTTATTAATCAATCATTTGTAATGAAAATGTACAGAAACATTAATTAACTTTCTTTCTCTTTGCACTTAGGGGCTGTATGAGGAATCAATCAAGTACTATGTGAGGTCACTTAGTATGAATCCAAAGGCAGATAATGCATGGCAATATTTAAGAATTTCACTAAGGTATGTGATTTGGAGACATTTTATTCTTGCATCATCTACCCTTTAATGCAAATATAAAATCAAAGATTTTTCTTGTTGCAGCTGTGCATCAAGGAATGACATGCTGGATGCCTGTGATTCCCGCAATCTTGATGCTCTGCAGAAGGAGTTCCCATTATGATATTATTGCTTGAAGCGTTAGATGCATAAACTTTGGCTGAAGTAAAGACAACATCTCAACGTCTCTGTTGTATTGAAGAGGTTACAGCAAAATACTCGCTGCAGCTACCACTGTTAGGCTCTTTTTTTAAAGATTCGTTGGGTGTTAATATTCCACACACCAGAGTTTTAACACAAAATTGACTGCTGGAACTGTTGGAAGGAATATTAATGTCCCAAGCCTCTAAGCATAACTCACAAATTATGTCCCCTTCTCCAAATCAATGTATTCTTACAGGAATAGTTCCATATTTTTCCCAGAATGAACATATAATATATGCATGTGATTTACGAATCTTGCTGTTAGTTTTCAATAAACAGAAAGAATATATCAAATAATGATGTTTAATGTTCATCATACGTTTCCTTTCCTGTTCTTTTGCATCTTATTGATTAAAAACAGTGAAAGTGATGGAGCTTTGGTTGTAGGATTTGAGGAAGAAGCTGGAAGAAACTTGCAGAAATGGTCAAGTGATTCTCTCCATGCCTACTTCTACACTGTGGTAAATCCCCAAACTTCCCATTCTCTTTCATATTATATATATATATATATATATATATACACACTGATGAATGTGAAAGCTACACGTTGAAGAAGAAAAAAAGAAACCATTTAGGGGAAAGCTCACTGATTCTGTATGTATGCCTGTTCTCTCTCTCTCTCTCTCTCTGTCCTTGTAGCACAACAGAAACACACTGGTACACTTAATAGAACAATGATTTAGGTAAGGATAATGCAGTGGCTGTGATGGATGGGTTGGTTGGTACGATCCACCATAAAAGTTAATAAATAAATCACTCACCCATCTCTGTTTCTGCTCCCTTCTGCCCTTTTACTTGTAGCACACGGCCCCGTTCTTCCCCCACAGCTTTTCACACACCCCCTACTACTCTATGAATCTGAATATAATTACATGAGATGCTGCTAAGAAACTTCTGGCTTATGGCTTGGCTTGGCTTGGCTTGATGATTCTTCTTTTTGTGCTGTTTTTCTGTTCACACTCTTGTGGTATTATTTCCCCTTATAATGGCTCTATGATGTTCTTCCCTTTTATGGCAACTTCTACCAACTGTGATTGTTATGAATGCTTGAGGTATCTTGTAGTGTAATGGCATTCAATTTTGTGTTTGTGTGAATTTATTTTGAGATGTTGATAAGGTAATGGTGGCTACCTAGCTATGATACCAAGAACTCGAGATTTTAAAGAGTAATTCAAACCGACGAGACTATTTGGCCGTTGGAGATGTTGGAATCATGCGAGTTTCTTGTGTGTTCTAATGATTGTCTGGTTTAGTCGATGTGGGTGTGATCTGGTTTGATTACTTAAGATTTGAAAACGCCCAAAATGAAAAATATTTGTTTTTGGTAATCTATGATTATTTAGTACACCGGAATGAGATTTTGAATGTGTAGAATTGAATTAGGTGAACGTAATCCTAATTTTGTAGTATATCATTAATTTCCTGGTTAGAAGGAAGATTATACTAATGTTTACTTGAATTTACCAAAATGCTCTTTAATATTTTTAATTTACTTTTTAATTTACTTTTTAATTGTAATTCATAACATACTAACATAAATTATTCTAAATATAAAAATCTCTGTCCTTACTAAAATGAAATAAAATTAATTTTATATAAAATAACGGAGAACATGATACATATTTTAACCAATTTAACAAATTTTAAATTGACAATATCGTAAAATGTTTAAATGTTTTACTCGCTTAGATTTTTCACGGTTAAATGTATGTGTTTTTTTAATTCAACCGAGGTAAAATAGCATATTTTAAATATTTTTACAATATTATCATTTTCCAAATAGTTTGGAACTAAAAAAAAAAAAAAAATTATTTATACTATTATTGCTCAATAATAGTATTCTTTATTTAAAAATTAAACTCTCTTCAATACTACTCAATTATTGAGAAACTATTACTTGTGAACCATGACCTAAATTCTCGTGAACCATGACGTTGATCACGAAGACTGATTTGGATGATTCAATTAATTATTTGATAATTAAACATACTTAGTCGGGTAACCATGCTAAGATAGAGAAGGTTGGGTAAAGACTTGGTATGTTATAAATACGACAGTCGGCTAAAATCACGATCATATGAGAACACAAACGTACACCGACTAACTTATTTGGTTGCTTATGCGACACGCGATTTTGGATTGTCACATATGATAGCAATATGAAATAATTTAATAATTTATTTTAAGCGAGAAAGTATTGAATAATCGAATTTTTTTTAATCAATTTAATATCTATCGAATTTAAAATATAATATTTCGGGTTTTCTTACGATTTTTTTTCTTTGTTGTACACTTCTCATTGTCCTTCATGGTCAGACATACGATTAAAATGTATATTTTTTTAATGTGTACGTGAAAAGAAAATATAAGAAATGATTGAAAGCATTTTTTATCTTTTATTTATTTATTTATAATTATTATTTTTTTAATTTATGATATATATTTCTCTTATCATTGGACACTATTATGGAAAATACTATGGTAAATGTTATTGGTAATTATTCTTTCGTTAATCCCATTTTTGTTTGGGTATTTTTAACTTTTTCCTATTTTGATTTATTAAGGTTTAAAAAAAAATCACGTAGATTTCGGATGTTATTTTGATACTCAAACTAATCATTTTCTTGAGATATTATTATATGATACTAACTTTCTTATATCCTCGAGACGATCTTACTATTAGTGTTGGGGTTAACCGATCCCTTAACTTTTGAAACCTCTTTTCGGATTCTTCATTACAAGTGAAAGTTATACTCGTATGAGTTGCCTAAATTAAACTCGAAACATTCAAGCAACTTTCCACGTCATTTTCTTAAATTAAGGAAAATTTATAAATTTCTATCTGTCTCGACGAATAACAAACTATTTCTTCTTTAAAAGAGTTCACTAGACCACATTTAGTAATAGTCTAAGCTCGAGAGAAATGTATTTATTCACCCAAGACTCTACTCTCAAACTCACTATATAGGATGGCTAAAACTAGCTTAAGGGTTTATTTTATTACTCCTTTTAGTCTTTGGTTAACCTACTTTGATGAGCATACACACTCCTATATAAACTAGTCTAGGAAACTTTGTTCTCGGAATAATACATGTTCTTCATTACTACCTTCATCAATTTCTAACAACCAATATACCACCAAAGGTGTGTGAAGCCCTGACCTAGTAACTCATGTGTTTGTGACTTTGATACCTACCCGACTAACCCATTCTATCAAGAGTTTTAATCAATTTTATGTGGGTTTAATTACATGAAAGTGATGTATGTAGAGTCTGTTAGGAATCACAGACCTCCACAATGACATAATATTGTCCACTTTGAGCATAAGCTCTCGTGGTTTTCCTTTTGGTTTTCCTAAAAGGCCTCATTACCAATGGAGATATATTCCTTACTTATAAACCCATAATCATCCTCTAAATTAGCCAATGTGAGATTCACTCCCAACAGAGTCGATGCATTTGAAAGTGATGTGGATATATGTATGAACGTGATGTATGTTGAATCATATGCAAAAAAGTGATGAATATCTAGAAAAGCCTAGGGTGCATAAAAGTGATGAATATATAAATGGTCTAGCATACATGAAAGTGATGCACGTTGAACCATATATACAAAAGTGACGCAACATCCCGAAGGAAGAAAAAAAAAAAACCCCAAAAGACAAAGTGTTAGATCCCATCATAATTAGTCTGTCAACGCTATGTTTAAGTATGATTACATATCCTAATCGGATTCACTTATAGGATCTTTTTAACCTTCAATCTTTCCAATAACTTTTTTTTTTCAAGGACAAGAGCACTCTAGACACGAGCATTCTAGGCACCCGTGAGTCCAAACATAATTTTATGATATATGTTTTCAAAGTAATTTTTTAAGACCTTTTAATATTAACTATTCGAAAAAAAACTTTCGTAGCGATTCTAATCCGATTATATCGTAGAAATCGAGTCGTTATATTATTCATTACACATACAAATTTTCAAGAACATCTTAAATTCTTGTGTCTTCTTGGTTGGCTCACACAATCCATCACATGCATCACAAAACCCAACTATTTAATACTCAAACAACACCATTTGTTCCATATTTAGTCAGCACATTCCTAACTACTTTGTGTTAAAGCCTTCCCATGCATATCTCACCATAATAAATGGCACCCAAATTGCTTGTCATTTTCATTACTCCTTGGTTGCTATGCATGTGCTGCCATTACTGTCCTCTTCAAACACCTTTTTCTTTCTACGTTGAACTGAAAAATTGGATCTTTGAATTAATTTTGGTGGATAGCAATATTCTTCAACACAACTATATGATACTCTTTTGATTATGCTTATACATTTGCGCCACCTTCATTGATGGCAGCCGACATTAAAGATATCATGCGTGTTATATATATGAATATGAATATGAACATATAATAATAATAATAACAATAATAGCTTTTGTATTTAAAATGCATTATTTGTTTTTGGGGTTTCTCTCTCTTCTGAATCTACACGTGCATGTGTGCAGAAAACAATCAAACAGAAGCATACAATTCTGTAATGATATTGCCATTTGGGGGGCAAGAGAAAGGCACCATCAATTCGGGAAGGAAAAAAGATTCCTTCTTAGGTCCCTACATCCATTTCTTTACTCCTCATCAACTTTGTAGCATAATGCCCTAATTAATCCTTGTATTAAGCTAATAGGTTTGAATTTTTACTCGGGTTTCTAAATTAGTACATGATTCGACGAGTGAGTATAAGGTTGACTCTCAAAAGAGATATTGTTGGTTTTGACTCTCGATTGAAATATATTGAAATGAATAACTGGAGTAGAAAAAACTAAATATTTCTTTGTATTAAGGTACTTCTATCCTAATGCTTCTCCATTGCACTATGACCCGTTATCTTAATGATTCATTCCCCTCTCCAACCGATGTGAGATCTCACAATCTACCCTCTTGGGACCAGCATTCTCATTGACACGCTGCATAGTTACTGGCTCCAATACCATTCTTAACAATTCAAGCCCACTGCTAGCCGATACTGTCCACTTTGGCCTGTTACTTATCACCCTCAACCTCACGGTTTTGAAACGCGTATGCTAGGGAGAGGTTTTCACACCAGTGTAAGGAATGTTTCATTTCCCTCTCTAATCGATGTGGGATTTCGAAATTTGAACGAAAGAGCTTAAAAAAGTTAATAATGAGTCGACATAATTTTACAATAATGTGAATTATCCAACGACATTAAAGAATTATTTAGGAAGAAAAATTCATAATTCCAATGGAATAGATAGATATCAAGTCCTCTCTCCTTAACCTAGCTAGGCGCTAAACCATCAATGTTGTTTGAAAGCTAAGCAAATGGGTTTACATGGAGAGTTAAAACACTATTTAGATATCAATTTAAACTAAAAAGTACACTAAAAGACTTAACCTTATAACCTAAAGTTTTCATTTATGAATTTGTGGAGCAAAGCAATGAAAGAGAGGGAGAAGGGTTTGTGTTGTGTTGTGTTGTGTTGGGAGGCAAAAGGTTACGTCAAAATCAGATTGAATGATGGATGGATGTCTGTCAAGCGCCATGCGTGCACCAACTCCCCCCACTGATCACATTTCTTTCCACACGCAAACGCTTACCCTTTGCCCTTTGGTGATGCCATGCCTTGCCATGCCCCTTCTGACCATCTCTTATCACTGTCATCCTCCTTTTCCCTCTCTCTCTCTCCATTTTATTAAAGATTTCCGTTTTCGGATTACTATGATACCATGTTAAATGACTATTCGTGTTAAAAAAATAAGTTTTTTTATACACTTCTCATGTGTGGGCTCAAACGAGCTATCGATTGAACCAAAAATTGGAGAACGACACTAGGGATCGAACGTGTTGATTAAGAAAAAGACACTTGAAGAAGGGATCGAGTGTCCCTAAAATTGGGCCTCCGACATCCAAAGGACATGAGAATTAAGGGATATCATCCCTTGGATCTCTACCAGCTGAGCTTATGAATTGCAGAAACCTAGAGGGATAAGTGGCAAAGGGAGCATGAAAAGCGCAATTTTGAGAACTTTGATGGTTTTGCTGAGGGGACATAAGGCAGAGTTTCTGGTTTTTTTTTTTTTTTTTTTTTTTTTTTTTTTTGAAATAAACAAAGCAATCACTACACTTAAATAATAAACTATAATAATGTCTACAAAGAGTTCAAAGAACAAGAACTTCTCATGGATTCCCTTCTGGAAGCCACACCAATGGAATTTTAGGGAACAAATCAATCCAATTAACTTAGTTTAATTACCATTAATTATGCAACAAGGAGACAAGCGAGGATGTTAATGAAGATGATGTTTTTGGTTTGGAACATCATATGAGAAGAAATTAGGAAGAAAATAAAGCTAAGAAACAAAGATTTTATTGAGTACATAAAATAATATTGCATATTCATATTCATATTCATATTCTAGTTTTACACATTTAAATCAAGCAAAGGAATGAAATTTGGTTGATGGGGTTTCTTGAAATCACTCAAATTCACAAAGGGGTTGCTTGATTTTGGCTAATTCCTTCATTTTTCTTGGTGGGGTTTCTTGAAATCACTCAAATACACAAAGGGGGAGCTTGATTTTTGCAACTTCCTTCATTTTTCTTGGTGGGGTTTGTAAATCAAAGCCATTTTGAGTGGTTTTTTGAGCCTTCAATGCCATGAAGAGACTGAAAAAAGGGGTCTATTTTGCCAACCAAGAAAAAGGGAATCATGAAGGATTTGAAGATGGTAACCTTCAGATGGATAATGAAGCCTTAGAAGGAGTTTAGCTTGTGAGAGAGCAAAAGGGCTCAAAGGAATGTTAGAAAACCCCAAACTTTTAAGCATTGTCTCCCATGATTCATACCTCTCATAACGCTGCTTTCTCTTGTTCCCTTCTCTTGAAACGACGTCGTCTATTTCCCTTCCAAACCAAACTTGCTCCACTGCTAGCCTCTCCCTACTATTTGGAGGCAAAGTTGCTTCCAATGAGTCAAATATTAGAGAATAATGATTCAATGCCTCTAGAAACCTTTGCATGAATAAAGGGTGGTTGAAATTCGCTTCCTTTTCAGCTATGGTCACCACTTTAGGGTTCAATGCCTTGATTTTATGTAGCAACACTCGAAGATCCTCCTTTACCAGCCTATAAAAACATCCGTCAAATATGATATCTATGGTAATCAGTAATGAAATGCTAAATATCCTGAACACTTACTTGTGCAAGTAGAGAACGCAATTAAAGGCGAGAGCTTCATCGGGGAAGAGCGTAAGAGCGGCAGGGATAAGGCGGTGATGATCGTGGTCATTAAGAAGAAGGAGCGGATGAAATTGAAATCTCAAGCCGAGAGAGTGAGCGAATTTAGAAAGACGGTCACCGGTCTTATGAAGAAAGTTAAGGTCACGACCAATGGCGGAAATCCTCAACATAGGAGAAGGAAAACGCTCGGCCAAAGCTTGCATGAGAGGCGGCCATTGAACACCATGCATGATATCAAAATCCACAACATGAATCCCTCCTTCCACAATAGCTTCCAAAATGGCTTGATTTGCAGTCAAATGGGTGAATCTTATAAAGGGTGTGATTTGATTCAATGACAAATAACAAGATTGAGTCAATTTTTGTTGTTCATCATCAATTGAACTCAAACTAGGAAGAGGAAGAACAGAAGAGGAATTTGAAGAAGGGATGCGATGGGAGAGAGAAGTGGTGAAATAATGAAGCAACCGTTCGGTGGCATCACCATAAGGAGAGGAATTTGAGGAGAGAATTGAGAGAAGGCGATGAGCTGAGAGGAAATCAGATTGAGAAATGAAATGAGCACAACGGATGAGTAATTGACGCATTTGGAGGGAATTATTTGAAGAGGAGGTGGTTTCTTCTTCTTGATGATGATGATGATGTTCATAATGATGAGAGGCCATCAGCATGATCTATTGCCACAAAAAAATGGGGTTTTTTTTTTTTTTTTGTTTTTATGGGTTGATATATGGATTTGGAAGAAGAGAAGAAGACCCACATCGGTTGTTTTTGATCTGGAACTTGTAGTAGTTAGTAACAGTGAGCAGCACTGTTCCCATTTGTGAGCTTTCATTATTTATATGAGGTGGGGAATGGAATGGTAGGGCATTGATTTGGGTGAGTGGAAGTCAAAACCCAGGGCGGGCGGCTTGTTTTGGTGGTTTGTGTTGGTTTGAGCAAGAGGGAGGAGGAAGAGAGAGATGATTACTTCCATTTTGGTTCATGTAAATCAATCATGGTTTCGTATGGATTGGATTTAGAAGGTAGAAAGGAAAAGTTTCTTCCTTTTTTGTGTCCTTTTTTGTGTCCCTTCTCTTCTATCAATTAAACTACATCAAATTCTATGCTCTATTGGTCAATGGAGAGATATTGTTCAAGAACTATGTATAAATAACTCCATGTTGGGCCTAAAAACCGTTCAAACTAGTTAACTCTCGTGCGTACAGATGAGTGGTACAATCTTTATGTACATAAGTAGATAACTGTCGTAAGATCATATCACTTGTAAGGAGATATAACGTCATGATAATCCACAATGTAATACATAGAACCATGTATATGCACATATCTAATTGTTTTTCTAGTATGGTATTAGAGTCATGCTCTTCTTATGTGTGGAACAAAGTTTAAGCCTCTTGGTGTAGTCACAGTGACTTAGGTGTCGAATAGAGGGTCTACTTTGTTTGAGGGCTCTAGAGGAGGAATCGAGTCTTAAGAGAAGGTTGTTAGAGAGCTCCAGAGAATGAGGTTTTGAAGGGAGGCTTTTATGTTGTACTTTGTTTGAAGGGTGAATTCTTGAGCATTGTTCCACATGGTTTAATTAAGGAGAAGATTGTGGGTTCACAAGTAAAGTAGACGAGTGGGTTCAAAAATAAAACCATGAGAGCTCATGCTCAAAGTAAACGATGTCATACTATTATAGAGGTGAGTTCTTCTCACCAATGAGTGGGCACCCATTTGGTTACGTGAGGGCAAAGACAAGTGTCATAATGTGACTCACGAGGATGGCATGATGCACCATCCAACATTCCATATGATGTGTTCTTTGAAGGCAAGACAAGACATAAGCAAGATTGAGACAACAAGGACCTTAATCTCAAAAGTTGGGGTTTTGGGAGGAGTTTACACATGCAGCTTTGGTGTTCAATCATCCATATGAAATATGATACTCATCAAATATGATATGGTGTAGATATTCTAACTAATTATAATCATGCAACTCCCGAACCGCTTTCCCTCCTCGACTGTCACAGCCAGCGAACACATTATATATTGAGTTTTCCTCTTTGGGTCACCCTTATAAAGAATATTTCGTTCTCCTCCCCAACCAATGTGGGATATCACATGCTAAGAGGCCTCGAAATTTCAAGCAGTTCACTCTGAGTCTTGAGGTTGTTCACCCATTTATGGTGTCTCAAATCTACCGAACAACGGAGAGAACTATCCTTCGGTTCGGATACCTTGATAGTTGAAATGCATGGTTTGTGAAAGGGTATGAATGATATACATTATTGAAGCAAAGTTAACCCCAATTGTTGGCTCAACACTGACACTCCCCAATGCCTTTTGTTGATTGCATTGCGTTGAGAAATGTGCAGGAAGGTCGATGTGTCTGAATCAAGAGCTCGTGTGTGCCTTTTTCAATGCCAATCTTGGAGGCAATTATTATGAGGTTGGGAAGAGTTGAGTGATAAAGTTGTGGGCTTTTCCCATTCTCTACTGCTTTTTGCAGTCATTTCCATATCCTGTGTTCATTTTTACCCTACAAAATGTGGAGTGCAAGCTTTAAAAAGCTGAGCCCCCCTCCTCCTCCTCCTCACTTCAAAATGCTTTCTTTTCTTTCCCTTTCAATTCAACTCTCTTCGATTTGACATTCCATCATTCTTCACCTTCTTCTTTCGTCTACACTTTTTTTGACTCCTATATTTCTCGATATATTTCTCGATATATTTCTCGATCATGCTCACAAACCCACGAATACAAGTGAACAAAAAGATACAAAGATTTACGTGGTTCGAGGAGAAGAAATACTCCTATATTTACTAGCAGTAGCCAATTACTATAACCATAGTGTTTACAAGTGTATGTCTCACGTTATACAGTTTAATTTTCAAAGTTTCTCTCCATTGTCTCTACGCAAATACAAAATGACACTGACCTCACATCTCACAAAACAATCCGACAAAAATGTTCATGAATCCACGAATCTTCACGACAATTCACAACACTTCGTTGGTATATACATGTTATGAATTTCTTTCAATATCATTAAACATTTATTTGGGACAAAGAATTTTTTTTTTTAAACTAAAAAAAAAATTATAAAATGCAACATGAATTTAAATATAATTTAAATACATGAATTTCTTGACTAGAACGTCTATAACATGAATACTGTGGAGAAGCCAACTCTATAGTGACTATTCATTTAGTGTTGCAATCACGCTAGAATGAAAGAAAATATTTTAAAAAAAATTGACCCCACGGTTGTAATTAAAATACGCAAGCGATGCAAACATGAATCATCACATTTATTCATAGTGGAGCCTAAAACCATGCATAGTTCTACGCGCACATCGTACACAAAAATCTTCTAGGGTCATACCCACTTCAGTAATTCTTGTGCCTCCGTTGAGTATGCACTACTTTTATATGTAAGTGGTATCACTTTCATACGAACCCTACACTAAATGCTTTGATGCAAGTAGGTTCTCCCAAAGAGTCATAGAAAGAATGGAACTTTAAATATATCATTTTTCATGTCTAATGAATCACGCACGTTCATGAGTTCTCATAAGAACAAAGCATTCGTAAATATTTGTTAATAAATATTTTTTTGTCATTTGCATTGCTTACATAAATATATCATTTAAAAATTATAGTTATCATTCATTTTCTCGTAAAAACATATCACACAAAAACTATCAAATATATATATATTTTTTAAAACTATACAAGAATCACATCGTGACGTAACAATTTGTTCTCATTTTAGATCCACTCAAATCTTCTAAAATCGAGCTTCCACTATTAAAATTTATTAGGTAAGGCATAACCCAATACTTTAGTGCAAGCTTTCAAGCCAATTGACCCGCACGAGTAGCGCCGAGATACTACTTTTGGCATCTCGATACAAAAAAGTTGCAATAATATCATTAAAGAAAAAAGTTAATTTTTCTTTTTCTTTTTATCATTATTATATGACAAAAACGTTTATCGAAAAGGCGTCATCGGAGCTTCGTCGAAGATTAAAGGTATTTTCATCTAGAAAATCCATAAACGAGTCTAGCAAGGATTTTAATTGCGTATTGTTCTACTATTTGTGTGTCGTATGATTGTCAATCTGCAAAATGACTTGAATATTTCGATTTAGTCAAGTCAATGTTAACAAACCAATCGACCTGAATTTTTCAATTTTTTTAATATTTATTTCAATACAAAATCTAACTCAATCATAGATTTATGGATTAAGAACATGTTCGTTTACTAATATTCAAAATCCCAAATTCAACGCGGGGCGAGAGTGCGACATGTTCATTTGCTCAAATGGAGAAATTCAAAGAAACCTGCAGAAAGCGAAAGAGAGAGAGAGAGTGAAAAATCTCAATCTCCGAGAAGTGACTAAGTGGCCACTCGACCATGCCGATCGACAAGTGGCTTTCGATGCCGGCGACTCGTACTACAGTTGCATCCAACTGCTTCTTCTTCGTCTTCTTCGTCTTCTTCTTCTTCGCAGTTCCACTCCGATCTTCCATTTCCCCCAATTTCTCTTCCTCCGATCAATCCAGGCCTTGTTTCACTGCAATGGTAAGCTCGTCTTCTCTTTCTTGTTCTTTGTTCTTTTTTGTTGCGATTGTCTAATAAATCAAACCCTATCCGCCCTGCTGTATTGTGCCTTGTAGCTGTTAAAAGCAATCGACAATATTGTAAGTTTATGAATGCGTTAATTTTTTACCTTAAAAGCAGAATTATCGAGTAGAATAGTCTTGAAAATTGAGGACGCTGTTCTTTTTTTGTTGTTAAATTGCGAACTTAGTTTCCATATTGGATTTGGATATCCAGAAGTTTTTACAAAATTAGTTGAAAGGTATTATAGTCAACTTTAAGACCAAATTTGTACATTTTTCTTGTTATTAATTTTTTTTGAAGTCTTAGTTCTCTGATAAACGTAAAACAGGGAGCAACTTATAAAAAAATCTGGAAACTTTTGTGTGAAAAAGTTGGGGTTCATTACCGTTCTCCTTCCTACAGGTAACACTTGTTGGCTACTCTGCTAATGGATTGTTCTACTCAATTTTTGTCTCGTTTCTTTTCATATTCTTTTCATCAGGACAGAAACAAAGACACTGAAAGTTTCAAAAATGGTGGAAAAAGATCTTTTTTTAGAGCATTTGATGCAGACTTCTTCAGTAACACTGAGGTATACATATGTATAGCGAAATTCTTTTTTGTTTTCATGTTTTTATGTCCTGTTCTGTCCTTTTAATCCATGTAGGGCTTGGAACTTCTGTTTTTGCGTAGATGGATGAGGTTTTAAAGGGGGCTGAAGAACTTAATTTGCCTGTAATTCGAGCCAATCGGAAGCTAGTTGCTTCTGAAAATGGAGGTCTGCATAATCCTTCTCCTTTAGTGTTCAGTTCCAACTGGGCGAACGAAAGATTTCTGCATAAGAGTAGAAGATTTTGCTATCCTCCTGTTTCTGGAGTAAAGAGACCAAAAAATGAAGAAGATATTGCCTTCATGAGCGTATGTTTGTGCAGACTAACCTTTTTAGTTTTAAATGGGTTAAAATACAAGTTATAGTTTATGAACTTTCATATCTACTAGGTTCTGAACTTATAATTTTGTCTCTAAAAGATAAAGAGTAAATTGAAAGGAGCTAAATATTAGGGACTAGATTGAATAGTGATGACTTTTGTGGTTCTTGATGTGTTGGTGTCTATTAGGTTCTTGAACTTGGAGAACTGATCAAAACGAAGCAGATTACATCCCAGGAGCTCGTTGGAATATTTCTGAAGAGATTGAAAAGGTATTTATGCGCAAAATCAACTTATAGTTTTTGCTATCAAGGTTGAAATTCTTATGCAACAAATTTTTGCAAACAATACCAGGTATGACTATGTTCTTCAAGCAGTAGTTTCCTTTACTGAAGATTTGGCTTATAAACAAGCCAAAGAGGCTGATGAATTGTTCGCTCGAGGAGTGTATTTAGGTTCGTGCTTTTTAGGATTAAAATTTGTTCTGCCACTTCAATGGAAGTGGTTGATTATGGTGGTCCATCGATCAGTTGTAGTTTTCTTGAACTTTCCTCTTCATTTTTCAAATGCTGTGTTAAATTTATACATGGAGTTAATTCTTCGTTTTACAGGTCCACTACATGGAATTCCATATGGGTTGAAGGATATAATTTCTGTTCCAGGATATAAAACAACTTGGGGATCAAAAAGTTTTAAAGAACAAGTAATTGATGTTGAAGCTTGGGTTTACCAGCAGTAAGAAAGATTTGGCTGTAAATTTCTCTCAGAAATATGTCAAGTGACAACTTTCACCAACAAATCATGAATTATTTGGTTATACAGGTTGAAGTCAGCAGGTGCTGTTCTTGTCACTAAGCTTGTTACGGGATCGCTTGCATATGATGACATCTGGTTTGGTGGGAGAACAAGGAACCCGTGGAATATCGAGGAGTTCACAACAGGGTCATCAGCTGGACCTGCAGCATGTACTTCTGCAGGTGCCTTTTAGACTTGATTGGATTATTTCACCTTAAAATGTTGGGAAAACATCTTCCTGGTTATAAAATATTTTTGTTTGAACTCAAAAGCGAAACTGCAGCAGTTTCAGTTCGAACGGAGACTTCATGGTCTTAACAATAACCATGATTTGCTTTGGGACTACCAAGTTAGGTCTATGTGTTCCTTAAGAAAAAAAGAGCTTGTGTCGTAGTTTCTTGGAAATGACCGAGAGAGATTTGGCTTTACATCTGATGGCCCCTTCTTTTACTAGGTCTGGTTCCATTTGCTATTGGATCAGAGACAGCTGGTTCGATGACTTATCCTGCATCTCGTTGTGGAGTGACTGCACTGCGGCCAACATTTGGGACGGTTGGTCGCAGTGGAGTGATGAGTATATCCGAAAGCTTGGTAGTAGCTACGAGTCCTTTTTTCTTTTAGTTTCTCGACTCTTCTTCGGTATTCATTCTTCCTTTGCTTAACAGGACAAGCTTGGTCCATTTTGTAGAAATGCTATTGATTGTGCAGTCATTTTGGATGTCATTAGAGGAAAGGATCCACATGACCTCTCATCAGTTGAGAGTTTTCTCGATGATCCATTCTCCATCGACATTTCGAAACTTACTGTTGGATATCTCGATGATGCTGATATGGAGGTTAGTTAGTAACTCCATTAGACCAACGTCATCTGTCTTGACATCTGGATTGTTAACACAATTTGTACAATTAATGATGATTATAGGTTGTTCGGGTTCTTTCATCAAAGGGCGCAAATATGGTTCCATTCAACTTAACTTATTCCCTCGACTCTGTTCAAGGCATCCTTAACTTCACTATGGATATTGATATGTTGACTCATTTTGACGAGTGGCAACGATCGGGGCTTGATCATGAATATGAAGCTGAAGACCAATGGCCAACAGAACTGCGACGAGCACGTTTAATTCCCGCAGTAGATTATGTGCAGGTACTTTTGTTTCTTGTTGACAAATTATAGAAACGTGTGATTTCAAGTTATTTGATCATATGCACAGGCACAGAGAGCAAGGGGAAAGCTAAGAAGGGAAGTTAAAGAAAGTTTCAATGTGGATGCTTTGATTGGCAATGCCACCGACTGGGAGAGGGTCTGTATGGGAAATCTTGTTGGTCTGCCTGTCATTGTTGTTCCAACAGGTTTCAAAAACATCTCAAACCCACCTGCTACGGGCACCACAAGAAGAAGAACCGCCATTACTACTGGAATCTATGCTCCTCCTCACAAGGATCACATTGTATGAACACTTTTCAACATTTTCAAGTTTTTGGAACAAAAATTTGATTCCTCCTTTAGCTTTGGATTTTGTTGAGAAGTGTGATTGGATTGATGATGTGTTGTTGTAGGCGTTGGCTTTGGCCATGGCGTACCAGTCTGCAACAGATCACCACAGAGCAAGGCCACCCATCGATGACTTGGGACCTCATGATGCTATTCCAGAACCACCTTTGGTTCCGATTCCTCCAAGATTGTTGCACCTTTGAGCGTGAATCTGCACTTTAATCCATGGTCTTTAATAGTCAACTCAACACCGCCATTGAAATGGTAGATCATATGACTCGTCCCAATCTGCACCTTATGTCTTACATTTTGGAGACTTAAACATGTTTCAAAGTGACTCTTTCATGTGTTTAATAGATTTTTTTCTTTTTTTGCTTTTGGGTTGTGGTCAGGTGATTCAAACATAAATCATAAGTTCTAGCGAAAGATCATTGAAATGCAAAAACGTGAAAACGTTTAATAATCCGACTACTAATCCAAGAACAAAAATATTGGTTTGGCATTCTTGATGTTTCTACTTCTAAAATTTAGGTTTGACTCTAGCTGGCTCTTTCTCGGACATCTTTATTATAGATCATTGAAGTTCTTCGTTTTGCTATTTTGTTTAGCCACAATCCACAATAAAACATGCAATGAATGCAAAACATCTTTTAAAAACCTCTTTCGAGATTGTTGTTGTAGGAGCATATTCACACATTTGAAATATAAACGTAGAAATTGTCGTTTCAACATATCCTCATCAGTAATTTTTTCTCTACACAATTTTGAACTATAAGGATGAAGGAAGATCATGACTTTTATGTTTCATTGACTGGTTGTTATATTCCCCTTTTAATTGTTTCTCTAAGATTCATCACATCCAAATGAATTTCAACATCAACCACACACTATCACCAAATAATAATAATAACAATAATAATAATTGTTTCTCTAAAAGAAGCTTCCCAAAAGGTCAAGGAAGTTGGTAACCTGGTGATAAGAGAGTGTTGGTGACCTGGTGATAAGAGAGTTGGCAACCTCACAACTAGCGAACAATGTCCGTAACTATTATCGTGAGATCCAACTGAGGAGGAGAACGAACCATTCTTTATAAGAATATGAAAACCTCTTCCTAACAAACACGTTTTAAAAATCACAAGAGAAAAAACTAAAAAAGAATAATATCTAAAATAACTTGTACAAATTTAACTAAATAGATATGATGTTAAATTTATAATTTAAAGAAAAAAAAAAAAGGGAAATTCATCTAAAATTCACAATATTCTTGAACTATTCCCAACTTTCCAATACATACAATCTTCTGGGTTGGAAGGTTGCAAGAACAAACACTCAACAATATCTCCATCCTTTCTTTTCCCTTCACCGGAAGTTAGCATTAAAGACCCATAAATTCTTAACAACACAAGCACCTAAACAACTCAAAAACCACACTGAATCCTAAACATAACACCCTTTTCGTTGCTTCGAAAATCCAACAAACACGACCCCAAATCATATTAGCAAGACCGAACCGACCAAATGGCGAAACAGAAAAGGGAAGAAAAAGGCATGATCCCAGGAGCCTCCTGATAGCAAACAATGCCAAAATGTAGAGAAAACTAAGTTGTTCAATGTATGATTAAGAAGATTACATTATGAAGAGACAGACCTGAAAGAGCTTCTCTTTGCTGCTTCCACTAGATCTTTTTTGCCTAGTGCTTATATTGAAGGCAAATAAGTTAGAGTAGAAGGAGCAAAAAGAAGCTCAGGAATTCAAATATACAGATGAGAGTTTATTATGTTTATTGACAAAAAGAAACAAAGAAACACAATGGTTAACTGCTCATCTAGCTCTCTTCCTCTTCACATATATTCTACATCCTATACTACTACCTATCGGCGAGATCATAACAGCGTATACATATTCAAAATCTGATGAACCACCACCGTCACAGTCGAAGTGAAAATTCATCAATACTAATAGCGAAACAGGTCAGCAAAGCAACAACCAATACCTTTTTTCGGCATTGCTCGATATAAAGACAATAGGCTAAGTCAAAGACGACGACTCAACTGCGTTCAAACACCCAACAACTTCAGGATAGTTTAGATTCAAAACCTGGATACTGTACATATCTGAGCTTCGGAATATGTACATGATAGATAGATCACTCGAACTTGTCTTGCATCCATTTTGACTGATATGCCTTCACTCGATGAGGTGCAATGATCTCCAACGCACCTAAAACACACTTGTGATAAGAGAAATCTTCTGTCGTCCCGTCTGATCGTACCAATATGAAGCAACGCGTATTTGAGTATTTTGAGTGGCTACCAACCTGCAAAAGAACAACCAGGTTGCGGGTCGAGAAATGATTAGATAAATTACATGAATAAACAGGTACCAGGTAACTAGAACTATCTTTTTTTTAAATCCTAAAATCCATCCTTGTAAGAAGCATCCTTCAGGGTGTTTCCTGCGTAATCAAATTCTACACTCATTCAACCTGTGGGCATGCTCTTTCTACAGCCAAGCAAGGATCTAGAGGGAGCCAAGATGACATACCATGTCGTGTAGGATTGGAACAAATTTCTGTTAGGAATCACGGATCTCCACAATGGTATGATATTGTTCACTTTGAGCATAAGTTCTCATGCCTTTGTTTTGGGCTTCCCCAAAAGGCCTCGTACCAATGGAGATGTATTCCTTACTTATAAACCCATGATCATTCCCTAAATTAGCCAATGTGGGACTCCCTCTCAACAATCCTTAACAATTTTCTCATAGGCACTATACATCCAGTTAGCTCAAGACGTGTTCATCTCTTCATCATATGGCCATGTGAAGTGCATACCTTGCACCCTCATGGTCCTTGAGTTGTGGCTATGGTAACTAATATGATCAAGGTGTACTTATTCTTCAAACAATATCTTAGACTTTTCAGTGAACATAAACAAGTCAGATCTCAAGGCTTAATTGCTCCGAGTCGGAGAGGCAATCAATGAGATGACTTCGCCATGCTAACTTGGGCTCCGTCCTATCTAACCTATTTGAACCTACCACTGAGACACACCTCTGATATTTATCCTGGAGAATGCAAAATTGCATTATTCGCAGAAAATAATAGTGAGCAGATACGGTGCCTTGCATCCAGATTAGACTGCTCGAGAATGCTCCGTTCCCAGCAGCTCCCAATCCCGGATCTCTATCATCCTTCAAGGATGTTCTCCCTTCTAAATTCCAAAGAAAAGTCTGTCCATAATTGCTGGAACCCGGACAAGAATGGTTCGGCAGAATGGAGCATGCTAACCGAGCATCAAAGACTATCGCCCAGAGCAGAGGAAGATAAGAATGGTTAAGGGTTATGACCGGTACGACAGAAAGGAGAAAGGAGCATGTACCCCTGAGAGTTCAAGACTGCGAGATCCTACATCGGTTGGGGAGGAGAACGAAACATTCTTTATAAGGGTGTGGAAACCTCTCCCTAACAGACGCATTTTAAAAACCTTAAGGGGAAACCCGAAAGAGAAAGCCTAAAGAGGACAATATCTGCTAGCGGTGGGCTTGGGCTGTTACAAAGATCATTGCCCGATGTCCTCTTTTTTTGTTTTTACTTTAATTATTCATAATTTTATTATTGTTTGGGGGTGCAGGGAGGGGGGATACATGAAATATGCTAAAAGAATTTGATGTTCTATAGAAAATACCTTTATATCCTGAGCTCCAACGCCAATTTTTTCATCCCTTTGAGGATGAAAGTATAAAGCCATCATCAAAGTTGACTTGTCCACTTCATTTAATCTTTCATTTAAAGAATACCTATACACACAAGTGAAATAATTCTAAGATACTAGCTAAGTGATTTTCAAGCCATAAACAATTATTAATCGATCTAGAACATGTCCAAATAGAAAAAACGACGCATCTAATATAACGATGCCAATTGTACGAGCCAAGAAATGCCGAAAGAGGAAGAACTAACTTGCGTAAAATGCTTCTCAATGTATGAGACAGCTTCTGAATATCATTCAATGTCAAGAACTCCCTTAAAATTGATTTAGAAACACTATCCAGCTTTTTAAGTCCTTTAATGGTAGAGCCACCATTTTTATGCACTACAGCACTATATTTCTCATAAATAGTGTTTTTATCAAGAGATTCAATCTTCACGTTCGGCTTCTCACAAATGCCTTGGCTACCCAGTAGATTATAAACATCGACGGGCTTATTAAGCTCGTGCCCCTGAAGAGTAAGAACAATTAGAAAACATTAGATCGTTGAAGTACCGCAACAAATAACAGGCACGGTGATATGACACCATAATGTTATAATCTCACCTTCCCAGAGTAAAGGATATCGAACTGTCCCCCGGTTCCCATAGAAGGTATTTTCCCCCACGCCAAGGCGTCTAGACTTCCTGAAAGACTGTCCTTAATTCCAGCCTTAGCAGCTTTAACAAAGGAAGCACCAGGACTCTGCAGAAAACCGAGTACGGATTAAATTTACATTCATTGCTTGCTCATGAGGATTCAAATGAATATGAGCAATTAGATAACTAACTGAGAAGCAAGCTTGCATAAAGGGCGTTTTGACCAAAGCATGTTCCCTTTGCCGTGATACTCCTTTAACATTTAAGCCAACAAACTCTCCGGTAGCCGAAAGAGTATTTGCAACGAGCAGCAAATGTTCATGACGTATTGTTTTACCGATATCCAATGTTGCAGACTCCAAACTCTACATTAAAATCTTTGAACGGTTAAATTAGAAGCATTCAAAAGTTCCCGTGAACGGTCAGATGCAACAACCGGGCCAAACTTGTAGGGAGAGTAGAGGACGGAAAATTACTCACGTTGAGAAAGTAATTCCTTCCAGAATCTATTCCATATGCCATGCAGAAACTATGGATGTTATCTGGATGACTACGAGACCAATCGATCAAATCCATTATCGGGAGGCAATGATTCATAAGAGTTGCCCAGAATCTAGAATTTCCTTCTCCCGACATGGTCACTCGCAAGTAGAGCTCCCCATGAGATTTACAATGAGGTTTTGGTACCTTTGGTCGGTCATTCCATGAAATATCTACCTTGTCAATCTCAGCAAAGCCTAATGCGAAAACCAAAGGGGAAAAAAACATAAAATTTTGGTAAATCTAGCAAAATAAAAGCCATATTTAGGCATATGACACACCAACGTAAAAAGTCGCTTCATATTTCAAGAAAGTTATGCCAGTTGAAACAGTGAGAAATCAAGAGAAACCTAGCAATTTATTGTAAATATCATCTCAATCTTGTCAAACATAAGCCATGGGACATGATATATATATACATATGTATAGATATACACACGCACACACGCACAAACACGTCCTCCATCTAAAGCTCAAACCATTAATGACCGACCAATTGGCCTTGTCTTAGGTCTTTTCAAAATAAAGCTCTCTTTTACAAAAACTCGACCCCACTACAACCTCACTTGCTCTCGACTTGTAGATTATTCAAATAGAATGAACCAGGTTCCCAAAATTAAAGCATACCAATTATAACCAGATATGGAAAGAGCCCAAAAACATATCACTGAAGATGTCTTTAACACATTGTAACTACAACTCTAAATTCAAGAAAAAAAAACGAACGATGATAAGATTTATATCTAACGAAATATTATCAAGTCAAAACGTCAGCTTTTCAGACTGGCCTTGTGTGTGTGGACAAGCACATTAAATATTGGAAGGAAACAAACAGTACAGACCTCTTATAACTGTACCAAGAAGGAAATGAATCAGCAAATCTTGAATGAAATCTAATTGCAGGAAAGAGTTTTTTGTGTTTTCAGCTATTGTAACAGTTAAGCACACGGTATCACCATCTTCTCTCGATGAATCAGCTAGAGAACAATCCCTTAATAGCCAAGCCAAAAAAACGACATACAGCTCAAGTGAGATGACAATGGTTAAACTTGCTTCGGTAAGGAAAAAAACCCCCAAGTACATGAAAGGGGAGATCTAAGTGTCAATTGAACAATGAACTTACTGGGTAGATATGTGCAAAAAGGGCAAATTTATTTTTGCTTCTTGTCTCACAGAGTCGCACCGCATATTAAGGGAATGGATGACGGAACTAATTTTCAATCTTCTTTTCTTCAAAATTTCCTGGATCGATGAGCCGGAGTTGATACCAGATATAGAGGACTGAAACAATATATACATACATCATATAATGAAAGACATATTCTAGATTGCATTACCTTGCATACATGAAAGTGGCAAACCCATGGACTAAAATGTCTTTTCCGGGAGGGCTCTGGGGCGAAGCTAATATCGTAGAAAACGTTGTTAATAACGTCAAACCAAAGATAAACATAGCTAACGAAAATACAACAAAAAAGAATCAAAGAAAACATAATAACTTACATAATCATAACACTAGACACAATATCTTTAAAGATTACTCTTTCTAAATGGTTCTTGACTCCTAAAGCTCCATACTCGAATCCATAACTTCGTTTCGAAAGTTTCTCCAATAAGAACAAGGAAAATGTTTGTTTGGGACTATTCCTCTTTGAACCACACTCCAGCACTTTCTGCATAAATCAAATATATAACAAATCATTAGTCTTGATATTAGAAACTAAAGACTTGTTTATAAATATATACAAATCCTTGATTTAAATTGTCAAATTGAGAGGAGCAGGCTGCAGTACCTTAAGGTTTAGCAATGGAGAAGTTTCAAGTAGACTAATTGGTTGGTCCAAAGCACTGTATGCAGCTTCTGAAAGGGCACAAGCAGCCAATGAACCAACAGGCTGACCACCGATATCACGATTTGTATTATTATTCTCACCATCCAATTCATTAGAGGTGCTCATGGGGCTATCAGTATCATAAGAAAACTGAACCAGTTGATTTCCATATGCATTCCTCACTGTTCGATCATATGCATTATATATATCCCGCATTAGAAATGTTAGTTTTCGTGTCAAAGTCCCAGGAACTTCAGCATTGTCACTGAAAGAGCTATCTCGATTTGTCACTGAATGAGCAAAACACTCGAAAGGATTAAGCCCTGAGAGAAAGGAATTTTCAACCACAGCATAAGGGATGAAAGACTGAGTACGGTCAGCAAGACCATCCTTCTGAATATAACGAGGCATCTTTTGACTATTCCATGAAGAACATGAGAGTTTATGTGGAAGGCCGAAGGACAGAGTAACCAAAGAGTGTTGCAAGCCAAGACACATGCTATGCTGAACTAATTTCAACAAATTACCCTTGCTTCCAGCCTTGAACATGGTTAAAAGTGAATTGTCTTTTCCAGAATACTTGTACACAAGATTTTGTATCTCACGGAAAACTCTCTTGAAAGCATCAACCGAAGCTTGATTTAGAGCAGCAGATTTCTGCTTCTCATAACTTAAATGCTCCACTTCGATAGATAGCACGTGTTGATTACCTTCATCATCTCCAGTAAGGACATCTTTATGTGAATCCACCATCAGCTGTATTAAATTACACGTTTCCTCCGCTTCTTGTAACCCACAAAAGATATCATCCATCATGTTTTTATGTGAGTGTGAATCGACTGAGAGATACAAATCTGATAGTGAAACACTCAATCCCCTCATTGATAACCATTCACAAAGAACTCTTTGAGCGATGTGCAAGTAGTTCAGGGTCCTTCCCTCACAATGTTCTATCAGAGCTTGAAAAGGGTTTCTGCCAGTGTCGCGAAGCCAATAAGATCCTTCAGAAGATAGAAGTTCTCCATTTTTAATGTGAACACGATGAGACGGAGAAGAATAATCAAAATCAGGAGGTAGAAAGATGCTGAATAATTGTTTTCCTGTCCATGCACAACTTCTAAATGAAGGAGCTTTTACAATTGCTGGGGGCAACAACTGATGTAAAGCAAACATTTGCAACTGCTGAATTTGGAAAAGATTTAAAGAAACTCCATCTTCCATAATTAAATGAGCAGCAGTTAAACTATCATGACTAAGTGACAGCAGATTTCTACCACTTTGGCCATTGACTAGCTGTCTATCTAGTGCAACCAGCTCTCTAAGCTCCACTCGGGCCTCAAGTGATTGAGGAACATAACCGTGAAGGCAATCGCCATCGAAATCTCCACGGAAAGGAGAACAACAAAGTGGGTTTAAGGAAAGAACTGAGGAGACTGGAAGAACCCTGACAGATAGGGCAATAAGTGAGTGTTGATGTATGGATGGAGGTCGATTAACCAATACAACATCCCCATCAGCTAGGGGCCTATATATAGTATCCCCCATACTAAGTTCAAGAACGTGACGTACACGAACCAGACGACCTTCACGACGAACAAAAATCTCTCCCTTTTCAACAAGACGAAGGTAACAAGAAGTGCTTAGTTTCTTCATATTCCAAGAACTCAGATGCTCGGATATTTGCAACCGCTCTGCAACATGACAAGGTATACCAATTTCACTTAACTCAATGTTTGGATCACCAACAACAACCATGCGGAAACAATGGTCACTCCGCTTTCCAAGAACAACATCTTTGATCCATCTCAAACCATTTGAGCTAGTAGCAGTATCCTTAATTTTCTTTTGCTGGTAAATCAAATCTTTACTTTCTAACTTCTCTGGGCTAAGCTGCATAAAAGAAGTGTCATTATACGCAAGAACAAAAGTTTCACATAATAGTTAAGTCAATTAAGGCAAAAGAAAAAGATGTTGAAAATTGCCTTGGAAATTTTGAGACAATCGAGAACACGAGAACCTAACTCGTTAGCTGTCCCTCTGAAATCAACCAGCTTCTTGTAAGCCCTGGTCCTTTCATCCTTAAATCGTTAAACAGGTTCAAAAGAAACACATTAGAAAGACACAAATATCATTCAAATATCCTTCTATTTGAATAACCTCGATCTAACAATAGAGCATTAGAGAAGACAAGTCTTACAAAGACCAAACGCTGTCCACTTGAAAATGAATGTGTCATTTCAGTCACACGATGACAGTTTGGAGTCACAGGGAAAGAGTTTAGAAACAATGAATCTGTCGCAGACACGAACTTTTTAAGAAATTTTGGGTCGATGTCTTTCAACAAATAATGGACCTGAAATCCAAGAAAAATGTATCACTAAAATATCGGTTCAGTATCAGAAAAGACAAAAATATCATAGGTTTCCAATACTGTAAAGGATTTAAAAGCTTCCAACTAGAAATGCAGAAGGTATAAATGACAAAGAAACACTAAAACTGAAAAGTTGAAACCAAATCAATTTTAAAATGCATCGGTGGAGCAAAGTACAAGATAACGAACACCACTAATTTATAATTTTTGTTAAATTCTCCAGTCTGTTCAACACTTTTGACACTGCAACACAGAAAAACCATGACATGGTATTGGTAAAATTGATAATTTTAAAGCACTAATATGAGTATCAGCATCATAGAGTTTATTGGGTCAGGATAGTCCACTCTTTTCTCTGTTCTCTTTTCTTCCATTGTTTTGTGAGGGGAACAAAGGGATACTTTTCTTTTGGGAGGACTATTGGTTAGGGATAGTCCCCTCTGCATTTGTATTTTCAAGTCTTACCGTTTATCAAATAAAGAATCAGTCGGTGGCTACTATTTTGTCTCATCGGACGTTATCTCCTATTTTGGGATTCCTTAGTCCATTGTTTAATAGGGAAACAACAAATGTTATTGATTTTCTTTAATTGCTTGTGAAGTTCTGTTGTGCTTCAAGGAGTAAGGATTTCGGTATTTAGAGTTCTAGCGCGACCAACAGTTTTCCATGTTAATCCTTCTTTTTCTTGTCTAATTAATACCTCTACCTTGGATGTCTTTGTCTTTGTCTCATTGTGGAAGGTAAAAGTTTTCAAGAAGATTAAGTTTTTCATTTGGCAAGTTATCTCCGTGATCGAATCGAGCATTTGGGCTATGGAGAGATGATTTTTATTTGGCAAAATATCTGTTGAAGCGTGTTGTGAGAAACAATAAAGTTTATAGAAGGCTTAAGTATTCTCTGAGCAATATTCAATTCCTTATTAGATTTCATTCATTTGTTTATTAGGCTAAATATTTGACACATCTAACAATAACAAGTGTCAGGAGGACTCATATTGGACAAAGCACAACAAAACCCTAAGGAAGGCAAGGTTCATGGGTTGAGACAAAACCGTTACAACCAAACAGTTCCTCGTCAAGGATAATTGATATAAACGAGGAAACAAAGTGCAGAGAGCTCTATCCCCTTTGGGAGTGCCTTTGATTCCACTCGAGATCCATTCAAAACGGAACCGGCCGAGTTTGCTCACAATGACTCTCTATCCAAAGGTTTCTAAACGCATCAGTTTAAAACTCTACTCATTTCTAACTAATGCACCCAAAGCGCTTAAAAACCTTCAATCCACGAGAATTTAGCTTGATCTTTCATGTCATTACAACAAAAATTGAGGATGACCTCACATACAAACACTAAGGGACATGAAAGTTGAATAAATTGATCGGTTTTAACCCTTACGCAAACAGGGCATAGGAAAAGATTAACCTAATTTTCCCACGAGTATTCCGAAAGCTGCATTATGAAAGATTAAGGGAGAAAGACTGATTCCTTTGCTTTATCATTGGTGTTGGTTCACCGAGGAAAAGTCGCCTGAAAAACTATACATTTCTCAGGAATAAGGGTTTCCCGAGTAAAAAGTCGTCTGCAAAAGAAAAATATGGAGGCTACGGAAAGTGAACTAAGTGCTTAGCCGAGAAGAGCTAATTCCTCAAGGGTACCACATTAGCCAAGAGAAATGGTGAAGCTTCCAAGAAGACTACAATAAGGACTTCCAATCCTTTATTGCTTTGGATAAGGATGGTCTTCCACATTATTTTTAAAAAATTGGAAACACCCCCTATGAAAAGAGAATATATTGTTAAATCACGATCCACCCAAAAGCTTAACCGAGTGGGTTATGGTAAATTTAATTATATCAATACTTCAACACATAGTAATTGCATCATTAAGCAAATCAGGTTCATTTGTATCAAGAAAAATAATGGTTTCTAAAGTTTATAAGGAAAACAAATAGAGAAAACAATGAAAATGTGTATAGCCGAAAAGCCTAAACGAACCAAATCTAGTCAATTTCATAAAGAGGCCCAATACCTGAGCATGTGTTAGAACTTTCCTGTTCGGTCTACAATAACTTTCCTCCTGCTGTTCATCTTTCGGGATAAAATTCCAATAATCAGGAGGCAATCCTCCCCTAGCCACCCTCTTTTGGTACTTCTTCGACATGTTTTCTTTCACTTCCACCATAATCATACTTTTTCTGAACATATCAGTAGTTGAAAGCTTAAACCTCATAGGCGGGTACCAATCCTTAAGACTTCCCTGTTGAGCAACATAGATCATGGTTTCAAAAGATTCTTTTTTCATCAGAACAGTTCTCAAACGATAAACAATTAAGAACGAAATAGAAAAACAAAGAGGGCTAAACGAACTTACAAAACAATATCTGCAACCTTTAGGTCGATGAAAATCAGACGTGGGATCCTCAACCTGGTACATGTAAACATAATCAAAATATGCATTTAAAAATAATTTTTATATTTAGATTCAAAGACGAGAAACAAATTTCCGGTTTTTCTTTCAGTTATTGATACTGTTTCTTGTCCCCTACTAGAATCTACATATTCACGTGGTGAAGGTAACCACATTGTTTAATAGCAGAAATTCGTAACTTTTAAACTAATCATAACAATTCAAGGTTCATCACAATAAGTGAGGTACCTGACCTTGCCCCATAGTTCCCGCCGGATAGATTTACACCCTGGACAAACTTTATTCAACACTTGTGCAACTTCCGAGAGAAAATACGGATGGATTATAGTATACGGAAATTTGATAGCCCCAAAATGACCTTACAAAACAATTCAAGGAAAACAACGTTAGTACACTCCAATTGTGAAAGGAAAGTCGACAAGTAATATCTTTGTACTGTGACTAGTTAATTACCTTCACAACATTTGAGAACGCTCGCACCACATGTAGTGCACTGATAAGATGGATTAGGAAGTCCCAACTTAGGATCAGACACCTCGCAGGCTGCCTCAATGTTTATCACTGCTATATTCTCCTGTTTTATCGATCACATCAGAAATATCAAAGTCAAATCCAGTATATATGTAGCGACACAGAGCCATACAAAATTTAAGGCACGTATGAACTCACAAGGGCACCTTCGGTTTCTTATCCAACAACAATTTTTTTGTAAATGAAACAAAAATAAATGGAATAAAAACTAAGATAAGAAAATGTGTAGGGCAACGAGAGAAAGTAGGGAGTTGTCCATCATACTTATATTGGAAACCCACTAAAATGAAATGAAGAATGTTAGTTGTGTTGCAGTCAAGATCCCATGTTGGTTGAGAGATTGCTAGAACACTGTATCCCAGCCAAAAATGTTGGGATGATGTAGAAGTTTCTTGTGATATCGAAGCAAATGTGACGACTGGCACCAACTAAATATAGCTCTAAGGAAAGACGTCCAAAATATTTTTTCACCCTCACAACATCATAACTGATGGTAGGAGACTTAATTTTTCCACTGCTGCCTGACCCAAAATATTGTAAAAGCTTCTTTCCTCCAGTACATGCCCAGACAATGAATTCAAAGAACCACCCTCCCTGTTGGGTGCCTTTGTTTCAAAAGACAGGATTGTACAATTGTTGTCTGGAAATTGTTTGAAGAAATGCATCGACACCGAAAGTTGCAAAACCCATGGTTAACCTTGAAAGCCATAAATTTGAGGGAGAAGATATTCTTTGCAATTTCGAACCTAGGCCCTCCCTCGATTTACCTATTGGATTTAAAGGTAGCCAACCGAGGGCATTGTCTAATATATGCTAGCAATAACTCTCCTCCATTGAGATCCTTTTTCTTGAGCGAATCCACCGCCATTTAGTAGCAAGCGACTGTTCCTTTGATGAAAAGCTCAAATCCCTTCAACTAACCCATTCAACTAGTACTGTTCATAACATATATATCCAGGTATTCCAAAACCCAAAAACCCTATCATAAACCCTGGCCCCAAAAATAACAATATAGTGATTGTTCTGTTTTCTTTTCTGAACAAAAAACAAACTTTTCATAACAAGTGATTGTTTTTTAAAATTATTGACTTCCTAAATCAGTATATGTATTTATCATATCACCATTAAAACACTTACCATATCTTGCTGAGTTGAGACACTAAAGTTTACGCCGACAAGGACACCAGATGGAATTTGTAGCTCGCTATCCTGTTCGTCTTCCATATGGTTCATCGCCTAGTGCATTTGAAATAAATTAAATAAGCTATACGGCATCTAAATCACAAAGGGAGACGTGGAGAGATGTTGATCGGAAACCCAAAATAACAATGACATTTAATAGAAGCTTTCTGTAACTTTAAAAAGGTGATATAGGAAGTCGATGTAAAACTTGATCTGGAGCGTACTGAAACTAAAAGGGCTCTAGCTACAACAAAAACATTATTAGAAAGATAAAAAGAAAGAAGCAAAATAATAGCCCTTGATGATGGAAAATAAAGTTGACGAACTAACAAAGCTTGTGCAAGTAAGAATAGCGAAGCATTAGGGCATGATGAAGATAAGCAGAGATCGGTTCAACAGGCCTAGGCAAACTCTACATACTCTAGAAGCCTCAAGAGAAAAAGAGACATGTTTAAGTCGAAAATTTAGACGATAGAAGTATAAGACGAGTTGCTTAATACAATATAAGTTAAGGGATTATTCAACTCTAGAACTACAGCATCCTAAACATTATACCTTCTGGCCCGATCGAAAGCCTCCAGCGAAATTCATACAACTTCTTCTCCGAGCAAAGCCAATTCAGCAGCTGAAGAAATAAATAAGACAACAAACTCATATTCATGTGTTAGGCCAAGCTGTTGTGCCTTCAAATATTATAACTTTGACTCATCCTTAGGACTTCCAAGTAGAAAATGCACTGATTTTGCACATAAAAGTTGAAGTCCTCGGCATTAGAGAATGTTGATGTATAAAGAAACATAAACAGAATCATGAATGTTTCAAAAGTAAGGCAAAACTTGTTGCTTCCATTAGTTCAATGAACTCAACTCTTTGATGGGCAAATTTCAACATTTGGGGCAAAGGGCTCCTTTATAAAACCTCAAAACTTCATGATCGACATGTGCTATATAGCCTCCAAACAAACAACACTCATTCCGTTCACCATCCGAATGATCCCAGGAACCAAGAACACCAAGAAAATGCAGAAAATCGGCATGATCAACCAAAAGCAAGAAACCCAAATGCAATGCAGTGGTACAAGTGCAAAGATCCCACATTTTAGACATGCAAAGGAAAACCCCATTAGAACCCAGAAATCAAAATCTAGAAAGGAGAGATAACATACTCGAAAGTGAGAGAAAGAGCAGGAGGTGGTTCAATGTGGGGCTTCAGAGGAATCAAAGCGCGCAACCCCAGGAAGGAAATTTCTTGGTTTACAGTTCTGGCAAAGGGGGTGGGGGAGCTGTAAAACCGTTATGGAAAAGTGAAGGAAAGAAAGGGAAAAGGGGTTGTTCCAAAACGGGGAAGAGGGAAGAGGGAAGAGGGAAGAAGAAGAAGGGGGCGGAAAGGGGTTGAGTATCGACGCCGGCCTCTTCCCTGTTCCTTTTCCCACCAACCAGAAGCTACACGCCGAGTTCGAGGAGTAGAATCAGTCCAAAACCAGGCCGATAAAAGAGGTGCTTGGAGTTCTGAGAAATTGACCCTTTCTGTTCCGTTTTATTACGATTCTGACACTTCATAAGCTTTCTTCTGCGATTGCTCGTGGGATGGATTATGATGAGAAGGTCATGTCTTTCTGAACTTTTTCCACAATTTCTCCCTTCCTAATTTTCAACCACAGATTCCTTCTTCTACAACAACCATTTCCATTTTTTCTCACTCAATTAATTTAATATTTCATCTCAAAAAAAAAAAAAATTTTTTTTTAAAAAACTTTCAATAATACTATTTCCAAAAATAAGTCAAAAAAACAATTTTACATTTAACTTTAAAATAATTTTACTTTTTTATTTTTTTTTACTAAAAGTGTAAATGTATTAATATATGAGTATTTTTGAAACGTGTATTAATGTATTTTTAAAGCTCAAATGTATTTTTGAAGTGTATTTTTTAAATAAAATATTAATAGTTTTTAATAAAGTGCAAAATTATTGGGTGTTTTTTTTTATTAATTAAAATTTATATGGTTTTTAAATTATAAATTTTATTTTTAGATTTATATTTATATTTGTCTAATTCTTCACGTTTAATAAATCACTGAAATTTAAAACTATTCGATAGTTTATATTTAATATTTTTAGATATATTTTAACTTTTTTAAAATTATGTAATTACGTTTATAAATTTTATTGAAAAGATATCTTTGATTTTAATTTTGTTAATCTCTCATTTTCATTCGCAGATATTTAAAAAAGAAAAACAAAAGATAATAAAGAAACAACTCGAGAGAAAATTGAAGAGTGAGACAATCTATAAACCTTAAATAAAAAAAAAAGATCGTCCATATAATAACACTTGTATTATTTTAATTATTCTTCTAATGTTATTTTTAAATATTTATTAAAGTATCTACTAGTAATAATATTTTAAATTTTTTATAAAAAAAAATTAAGTATATTCATTAAACCGTGAAACAAAGTAACGTTGGGGTATTTTTTTAATTATTTTAAAGAGTATTAATTGAAATTAAAAAAAAAAAAATTGTAGACCAAATATAAAGTTAATAAATATTTTTATAATTTAGCATTTAAAAAATTGATAATTTTTTATTAAAGAAATAAGGAACCGTACTCCAATGACGCAGACCCTTGCAGAACTTGCGGTGAAAATCTAAAAACAATTACAAAATTAAATTAAATAAAAGCCATGGTGCATATATAATATTATTTTTATTTTTATTTTTTACTAAATTAAAAAAAAACACATTATTTAACCTAATTCATAACTTTTAAATTATGATTAAAAATTAATTTGTTCTTGAAAATAACAGTGTAGTAACTTCCTTGGTAATAATTTTAGTCGTTTTATAGTATTTTATTTTTAAAATTAATTCTATAAATATTATTTCCATTAATGAATTTTGGTTGTTTTTTATTATTTTTTAAAGCTAAAATAAAAAGACATATTTGCTGGTTACTTATTGAATTTGGTTTGTTTTACCATTATGTTTGTAACAGAAAACATTTAAGTATTATAGGGTAAGTTGAATTAAATTAGGTTTGGCCTACTCCAAATCACACCTACGAACACTCTCTAATGTTGCAGGGAGGAACAACAACTTGACGTACTACGATCATATATAAAAGTGTTGTCCTTCAGCTTTGCAATATGGAACCGGTTATTTGGTTAGTCAGTCATCTTGATCTGCTTGAGGGTCTTGAGCTAGCTTCCTTGAAGAGGTCTAATGAAAAACCGATGCTTTTTGAAATTCATTCTTGATTTCATCCATGTTCGTGGGTTTAGTTTTATTTTTCAAACTCGACAAGTTTGAGGTCCATTATGGGTCAATTGATTGGGGCTTTAGATTCAACGTTGCACACCAGTCGTCTTCGTTGTAGTATGCCATCGAGAATGGTCGTGAAACGTGGTAACTAAATTATATTTGGTTGGGTCCAACGCCAATTCCACTTTTGTCCACAATACACTCAAGTCCATTCTAGCCCAATTTTCAACCCCAATTCCACTTTTCACGTACACACTTAATTAAATACCCATACATTTTTTAGATTCTCACCAACCTAATGACAGCCATGTATAAATAATTTCAATTTCAACTTGATTAAAGAATCGTTCGTGAACATACAACAAAAACCGTAAAAGAAAGCGACAAAGAAAATAGTAAAATTTTCGTCAACAATAGATCGATTGCTAAAGGGCAAAGACATGGATGTCAGTTCTCCTATGTCTGTTTGTTCTTTCCCGTTAAATACTACTAACTACTGTTAAGTTATGGAGCCTACTAGTTATTTATATCTTACTCAACCGTTTATACATAGTAAAACTATATATATATATAGTAAATGACATATAAATAAATTGTCATAAATAGTAAATAGCTAGTAAAAGTTATGGGCAGATAATTATAGATAGCATATGGTTATATCGGGTAAACTTATATATAATAAGCTAAACCATATGTATATGGTTGCAAAATTTGAAAATATATTTTATGTATTCTCTACATATTTGAAATCATCGATACAAATCCTTTAGCCAATATTCTCCTTGCATTTTTTTCTCTCCTATTTTTTGTGTTCATCTAGATTAAGTCTGTGAGTTGTTGTGCGATCCTAACAACTACCAACATCACTAAAATTAAGGAAAAATGAAGAAAAAAAATGAGGTATAATATTTTAATGTGACGAATTTAAAATAAGGTGAGAAATTTTGCATACTTTATATTATATATATATTTTTGCTTTATAATTTTGGTCCTACAACTTTACATAGGTCTCTAAATTTTTGGTTCTTAAGCTTTCAATTATGCAAATTTATTAAATTTTTAATTTTATGTTATTTAAAGTCTTTTGATCTATTTGATATTTCTTAAAATTTATGAACGTGTTAGACACAAAATTGAAAGTACTATTATGCACAAAATTGAAAGTACTATTATGCACAAAAGTTAAACGCTATTCTTTGGATTTCCCAAAAGACCTCATTCAATGGAAATAGGAAAAAGGAAGATAAAAGAAAATAAAAATAAAAATATCATAAAATTTTGCACAATTTAAAAACAAACAATGAGACAATTAAAAGACAAACAAAAATGGGAGCAGTTCAAAATTATTTACGAAATCGAGATATAAATTTAAACAATACAAAAGACCCTGAAGACACGAAAATCGATGCTCAAAGATGACTCATTTTGTGTGTAACGCTTAATAAGACGATTGAGTTAGTTGGAGTCGATCCAAGTTACTACTATTTGTAATCAAATTTAAATATTTTTATATTATAATGAACCATAATATTCAAGTTTTGTGCAGTGAAAACAATGTTTTCTCCCTTTAAAGTCAATGTTGGAAGTGACAAGAAATAGACAATTTTAATATTATTACAATTTACTATCCCCGAACCATGATAAGAAAAATTCAAAAACCTTTTCGGAGTTTAATCAAACTTTTGCATTTTTGCATTTATCAGAGGAAAGAAAGATCATAAATATATAAGTGAGAGGTAGTATCTGCATTGATGTAAAATTGAAAAACTGTTCAGACCGAGAACTTGAGTGTTATAGTCTATGATGTTATAATTGCAATTTAAGAGATCGAGTTATGGTTAAGATGAAGAGTTGCCAATAGAGAATTTGACAGTATTGGTTGAGCCCATGATGATGGAAGCATTGTGAATCTTGGTCAATACTGAAGTGGCTAGCCAAACAACTCATGCGAGCCAAAACTATATCAACTCAATAATGGAAGCTCGATATCCAAGGAACTTTTGGTGATATGACCCTTCGACCATATCTTTAAAAACCTAATTTAGACAATGCTTTCCTGTTATCACTCAAGACAATATTCTTATTATTGAACTACCTCAAAGTGGATAAGGTGTCACCTGCCACGTTTTTGCTAGGGAAGACGCCTTTTTATGATGGGAGTCCATCGAACCAATAATAGACTTCTAGTGAAAATACTATCTATCTCTTAGTACAAGAAGAAACGGCACGTAGCTATATTGCATAGTAATAATACAAGAAATAATAAGTAGATAAGCCACTGTTAAAAATATATCATATAATTGTCTATCTTAGTCTAAAAACGTTCTAATAGTAAGATGACCTGCATGAAGGCCTAAGCAAAAGTCACTAAATTCTCAAGTTGATGTTCAGTCAATCTTACTTGTCGGGGTTTGAGTACACCTATGACGTTCCACAACATCATAATTAGAACATATTTATGGAATTATCGAACTCTCGATCTCAACGCTTCCAAATATGCCAATAATGACTTCATATTAGTTCAAAATTGAAAGACGGTATCAAATCTACCAAATAGAGTCATTTAAGGTGAGCCAAGCCAAGAAGAGCTGATGGGAAGGTGTCGAGCCGAGCACAAGTCGACAAACCTTTCCCATGCAAGGCTTCCTATAAATATCACTCTCAAACCACCAAAGTTGTTCAAAAAACTAAGCCTTACCATAAGAAAATATCCCTCCTTTGAGCCATTTTTGTTTATCTTCAAAACAAAAAGAGGATACACCAGCCATGGCCTCAAAGGATAATACCTCATTCGATGATGGGGATGTTCCTCGTCGATTTGCAAACTTTCAACCAAGTGCTTGGGGAGATTACTTCGTTTCCTATGATTCCAACACTATGGTATATATATATATATCTTTCAAATATATTATTTTATTGTTCTTTAAATTACTAATTTTTATTGAAATTTTCGTGTTTATTTCATTCGGATTCTTACCATGATATCGTTTATTTTTGTACAAATATTAAGGAAAATCAGCTCGAGGAGAAGATGACCCAAAAACAGCTTCAAAAGCTTAAAGAAGAAGTGATGAACATGTTTGTGACAACGGACAAGTCTTCGGAAAAATTAAGGTTGATAGATTCCATTCAACGCTTAGGTTTGTCCCATCACTTTGAACTGGAAATTAATGAAACACTTCAACTTATACAAAGCTCTTCTGACGATGATGACGATATTTACAATATTGCCCTTAAGTTTCGATTGCTTAGACAAGAAGGTTATTCTATTTCATCTGGTAAGTCTCTAGCTCCACTATCTTTAAAATTTTTAGAAAAAAAATGAAAATCGGATTTGATTTGTAAATTTTGAGTAGAGATATTCAACAAGTTTA